TCTATACCGCGCTTATTCCTATTTTGTCTTATCAGTGTCTCTCAACGGGCTTGGTTGCAGCCTCCAATTTGGGTGCACAGTCTCAGAATCGTCATGGATGCTTTTGCCCGCTCATCGTCTCGCCCACGGCCCTCGTCGCGACCCACGACTCCCTTAAGACCCAGTTCCCGGTCGTCGATCCGCGAAGCTCATGGCTATGGCAGCAGTATTGGTATGGCAGGCTACACCCAGCCTGCCATCAATGCCTTGGAGCCCCAGTTTGCAGAGCTTGCAGACTCCATGGCCGACCTCGAGGCCAACTTCATGCACCTTCAGCTGATGCACGAAAGTTTGACCCGGTTCAGTGAGAGCTTTGCCAGTTTCCTCTATGGATTGAACATGAACGCGTTCTGTGTGGACTTCCCAGAGGTAATTGCGATTGAAAATAGTGGCTGTCTTCCCTCCTAAGCTGACGATCGGATACAGGCGCCCATTCCAGAGTCTTTCCGGAGAGCCAAGCAAGCAGAGGCACAGAATGGTATGGACATAGCTATATAAAAGGAAGATCCAATACTAATAGCACGGGTAGAAGCCGAAGCCGAACAGCTGAAAGCGACCACTGAAGCGGAGATGACATTCATGTGAGTCTTGATTACTCCCCGGGCTAGTTGTTGATTGCTTTCCTCATAATAACAACATGACGCACTTAGGACTACGGACACTTCCTTCATCGAACATCCTTCGAGCACCGTTCCCTCCAAGCCTTCGGCCAAAATTCCGGCCCCGTCGCGTGGCACCACCAGAGGATCCACGCGTGGTTCGACAAGCAGTCGTTATGCGACACGGGGCGCCAATCGTGGCGCCCGGCCCAGCGCATTGCCCCGCGGACGAGGATTGCGGTGAAGGCAGGAACCCGGATGGTAGAAATTTTCAACAGGGCGCAGACGGTTGAGCATGGAGAGGCACAAAGACTTGCGCGAAGGGAACGGCCTGCTATTGGCAATCCGTAGAGAATCCCTGCAGTTCGCAACGCGCCCCCAAACCTTGAGAGGAACTCCGTTCCTGAAAGAACCTACGGCGACGATAGCGTTTCGTAACACGAAGCCTGCCGAGCGGCCTGTCCGATCTCAGCGGCTCGGATCTTTCTGAGGGAAGTTCTTGTTAGCCCAGGGTGTAGAGTTAGGGTAGGCTGGAAATCTCCAGTCTAGTGCCCACAACTATTTCAGAGCCCGGAGAAAATCTGGTCACGTATGATAGCCTTACGCATAATGATGAAAGCAAAATATTCCAAGTGTTGAAAGTGGGTGTCCTTGCGGCTCGAATAAGCGTTGTAGGACCATCGCCCGTCCCCAGAATGACCCACCCCGGGGTCAATGGGGAAAGACATCATCAAGTATCAGATGCCCCATCTTGATACGTATTTGGAGGCGCACGGCCATAGTTTGCCAGTGTATATAATGTTGGGTGATTTGTCTTGTCGACGGACATAATGAATGCATAAACTGGAAATAAAAAAAAAAAAAAAAAAAAAAAAAAAAAAAAAAAAAAAAAAAAAAAGAAGACCCCGGAAAGCACAACCAAGTAAGGCAGCCAATCAGGCCATCTGGGCGATCTCGGATCAAATGCAGTCCCGGTTTCTTAT